CCATGGATCAGTTCATCCTCCCTGCCTGATTGGACAGGGTGTGCTCATTCCAAGATAGGTAGATTCTGAATGCTAGACCATACACACTGCAAAGGGAAGCAGTTTGCATTTAAGTTCCTATTTAAAGGTTGCCAAACATTTCCTGGTTAGAAACATTTAGAATTTAAAGAAGTTGGCATTATTTATAGGCCCTGTAGTGTCATATGCATGCACCTGCATTCTTGCCAACTTAGGTTGCTCCTGCCTATTCAGCCTTGAAATAAGAAGACAATGAAGTGACATGATAACACTCTGCAGGTACCTCAAAGGCTGTCACAAAGGAGAAGGAAAAGACCTCACTTATCCCAGAGTGTGGGACACAGAACAATGAACTTACAGTACACTAGGTGCACGCTAGACACAAGGAAGAACATCCTAACTGTCAGAGCAGTACAACAGTAGAATCAGTTGCCAAGAGAGGTTGTGTGCTCTTCCACACTAGAGGAATTCAAGAAGAAAACAGACAGTGGAACTTGTGTCCTGCACCAGCAGGGGATTGGACCCAATGGCCTTCTTGGCTCCTTCCAACCCTACTGTTCTATGGTTCCACTCAAGCAATGCCTGTCTTCCTCATCTAACAGTACCTGTTGAAAAGTCAATTGGCACAATTCAGTAAGAAGCTCAGGCAGGGAAGCTGCTTCAGCCCAAGAGCCAAAATCCGTTTCAGAGATGCTCTCAGAGGCTGCATTCCAGGGGTAGGTGGAGCTGAAGGCAAAAGTTCAAAAGCTGCAGAACCAAAAATAGCGGCAGATATTAGTTCTTCCTGCCAATACCTAAACCTGAGGAGAGGCATTTCAAGCATCCAGGATGGGGGAAAACATGGAAAAGCTGGAAAATCACCAAACAATGGTCGGTGAAGAAAAAGGGGTGGGACCACCTGGGGAACTGCAGACAGCCAGATTGGGTGCCAGGCTGGCCAGATTTGGCCTCCACAACTGAGGTTCTACATCCCTGCCCCAAGGTATTTAAACATATGTTTCTTCAGCACACTTTCCTAAAGAAGTGGCCTAATTTCTTACTAATGAAAAAAGCCAATCAAGTTGAGCCTTAGTTGTAATGATCCCTAGTTTAAATTAAGTCTAAAATTGATGTTAGCTCCGCATCTAACCAAATGTGGTAATTAGGCAGAAATGAGCTAACTCACAATCGGAATATTGCTGTTAGGGTTGCAAACTAAGCAGTATTTTATTAGTCCTACCAATTAAATTGTGTGCAGTCAGATAATCAATATCAGCATCTGAAAGGCCATAAACATCTAATTCTGAGCCACCAGATTATATAAGAGTCACCCAAGAACCTCCTAATTTTTACCTGGACCCCTCCCTGACTTACCAGATTTCTCCAGGTTCTATGGTTTATCCAGCAGATTGCTCTAGGCTTCTCTATAACCTAGCTGGAGCCCTGTCCAGGGAGCCAGGATGTTTCTGAACCAAAATTTGGCAACCCAAATGGCATTAGAAATCAAGGATGGAGCACGGGCATGGAGGCAGCTGTTTAGGTATGCAGGGCCAGTGCAAATGAGCCATTGTTTTCTCATAACTCCTCTTTTATCAAACTACAATCAGAATTCAGTGAAGAATCCAAGTTAATTAACTGCCCCCTCCTTTCATGCGCTAATTAAAACCTTTCCAGCAGTCTGCTTATCCTTTTAAGACTGGAGATCCTCGACATTTAGAACACTTCTTGTGGGTGTTTAGTATTCCCCTCCACTAAAGCAATTAGTAGTGAAACATCTGGACCCTCTTCAGATGAACTAAGCATCATTAACATGTTCATTAAACGTCCAGACGATGGAGGGGGGTGCTCTTTGTTTGACTGGAGCTGTTCCAAAGATGCAGGGGCTATGGATAGATTGAGAACACAGCTTTAACCTGATGACCTAACTGTCTGAACTAGAGCCGCAGTCTGATGTTGTGTATACAAACCTGCCAGATTTCAGTGTTGTCAGGCTGAATTCATACAACCAGTGGTTGGTTTCAAGTGATCAGCAGGAAAAGAAGCTGCAGTGGCTTCTTTCCCCCACCCTCATACATGTTGGGTGTGTGCTGCATAATTTGCCTAATTACCAACATGGTGCATGGGTTGCCATGTCATCTGGACCCATTGTGGTGGGGGGTGGCTTCAAAACCACCCCAAAACACAGCAACAAGCCATGGGTTTTGAGGTCTCTTTCAATGCCACCTTTACCACACATCTCAGAGTTCAGAGAACACCGGACGCCATTCATCAGGATAATTAGGCAAATTATGTGGCATGGATCCAGCACACATGGGCAAAGGTAAAGAAATAACTGTGACTTGTTTTCCCACTGATTATCTCAACCATCTTGTTAAGTGCAGATCCATACTTACTTCTCTTTGTGTTTCCTCATATATATCTGCTTTTACTCTGTGAACATCATAAAGTATAAAATAAAGTTATATGTTTGTAAATGTGCCATGAGTTTGTACCAGAAAGCTGCAGTGAATGGTGTAGCCAAGGATTTGCCACCATCTCCACTTTACAATTTTCACAGTCACACCAGTAAACAGCCTTTGTATAGCAAATAATTGCCCTGAATGTTAACCAAACTTTGATGCATTCGGATTTGTGCTGCATTCTCAATGTGCACAGGCAAACAGCACTGGGGATTTCTGATGGAATATAGATGTATGTAGAAGTTCAAAAAGTAATAAATACTTAACTATTATTCCAGCTGAAATATGCATACTGTTTAGTCACAGACAGTATCACGAGAGCAGAGAAGAATGTACTTTGTAATTTCTTCAGAAATGGCTTGCTTCTTTATTGTTCACACACAGAACCACGTTTTCTATTGTTTCTCCTAACATGAAGAATCAGTCCTTATACCAGAAGATTGGAGAATGGCCAATGTAGCACCAATGTTTAAAAAGGATTCTGGGAATTACAGGCCAGTTAGTTTAATTTCTGTTCTGGGTAAACTGTTTGAAACCATTATTAAAGATACAATCATTAAGCACATGGAAGAACAAGCCCCACTGAAAAAAAGCAAATCAGCATGGCTTCTACAAACTATGTAGAAGTCTTGTCTCACTAACCTATTGACATAGTGTGTTAAATTCTGTTTTTTTCCCCTCATTAATGGTTGAATAGTAGGACTACCCAGCATTTTGGAAAAAATCCAGGAACTTAATTGCCTTGGTACCACAATTCTGGAGCTTGCTACCAGGGAAAGACAACCAGATCTCAATTTTAAAATATTTTAGGAGATAGGTTAAATCTTCTCCATTTAGATGGCATTTCAGGAATGTGTCTGCCTTATTGTGGCTTACAGTAGGCTCTATTGTATTTCTTCTATTCAATTATGCTTAAAAAATTAAGCTAGGTTGGGCTTTTCCTGAAGGAAAAGCACAGTATACGTGTTTAAAATAAAAAGCTAAGAATCGTTTTCTTAGTGTTACTGGCTCCTTTGGAACACTGTATTCAGGCAGTTTCCTTGGTTCAACTCCCCTCTCAGTGAGAGTGGAAGAGGAATTAAAGCATGCCTTAGGAATGGCGGGAGCTCTAGCGTATTTTTTTCCCATGCAAACTTGCATAGTATCATGCCTTTAAATATAGGAATGTACAGATGTTCTGTGCAAGTTCTTAAATAAAAAGAAAGAAGGAGCCCTGCTAAATCATACCAAAGGCCTAAATAGTCCAGCACCCTGTTTTGCACAGTCTTTCACCAGGTGCCTCTAGGAAGTAAGTTTCAATCAGATGCCTAGTCAGCTTTTGGGGGAGGGGAACCCCTTTCAGCCAAATTTGATCCCAGGGAAGCTCTCAGGACCAAATTCCTTGGTGGGTGGGACATAAAGTGAAGGGGGTGTGGCTAGTATTGCCAACAATTCAGAAAAAGCCAACCTGTTAGAGGTTAGAGGTTGGGGAAGGGTTTGTGGCCTTCTAAGGATCCCCATAGGGGTAGATTTTGCCACTGTCCTGAGGTTCCCCCACCATTGAAGTAAGCCCTGTGTTTCAGTATTGCCTCTGCTGTGGATTCAGTGGCCTCAAACCAGCCTTCCCCAGCCTGGTAATACAACTCCAATTATTCCCAGCCACTAAGTCAGGTTTCTCTGACCTGTGCGGGGATGATGTGAGCTTTGGGAAGTTGTTCCATTAGAGAAAGCTGCCTTGAACAAACCAGGCTTGTTCACCCTCCACCAACCTGCAATACAAGGGCTGATTTCCTTTACAAGGCTGTTTGGAGGATGAATAACAAACGTATTGCATGCAAGTTCTAAGTATAAAAGCCAGCATCATTGCATTCAACTGTTTCCAAGGGATACTCCTTAAGTTCTAGCAGGGCTCAAATCTAGCTCCATCATAAACATCTAGAAAGAAAAATGACTGCGAAATAGGGGGAGGAAAGATAATTAAGACTGCCAGTAGGAGCAGTGTTTTATCAATAGCCAGATACCAGTCCTGGATCTCAAATTTTCAGATAAAAATAAAAATATTGTAAAGAATTACAAAGTATCGTGGGGGAGGGGAGGTGGAACAAAGCCCACAACGTTTTTCTGCACTTATCCCACCCATTCGCAGGAATCTCTCTCGCGCTCTCATTTTTACACGCACAAATATTAGCGTCTTTCCATCTACTAACCAAACCAGCTTCCCCCTGCCTGCTGTGTTCCAGATGTGTTGCGCGCCTTCTCCCACAAGGAATGCTGGGAGCTGTAGTCCAACGCATCTGGCAGGCACCAGGCAGGAGAGGCTGGATTCCGTGGCAGAAGCCAGCGCCGCTGTGGCTTCGTCCCGTCCCGTCCCGTCGCTTCGCCCCCGCCCCGCCATTCCGCTTCCTTCCCCCAGTTGCAACTGGCCACAACTTTGCTCTCCCGCCGCTCTCCCACTCCAAGCGCGGACGTATTTCGGGAGTGATCCTCGCATTATATATTTACGGGCAGTTGGAGGGGAGGGTGTTGCAGCCCACCCAATGCCCGGGCTGGGCGGAGCAGCCCCGTTCGGCCGGAGCTGATCGCTGCGGTGGAGGGATCCGAGATGCAAAAGGGAGAGGCCCGGCCACGTCAGCCCGACCACCTCGGAGGCGCCGCCAGGGGACAAGGCGGCGGCGGCGGCGGCGAGCGCGCCGAGCGGGTGCCCGCCGGAGTCATGGAAGTGCCCGCGGGGCTGATGCTGGTACGAGGGCTGGGGAGCAGGCGAGAGGCGAGCGGGCGGGCGGGGGAAGGGGCCGTGCGAATGGGGGAGAGCCGGGCGCCGCGGCCAGTGCCCGCGCAGGAGCCCTCGGGAACTTTTGCCCTCCGAAAAGTTCGTTTCTGAACTTTTCCCCAACTTTCTCCTGAAGCGCCTCGCACGAGAGAGGCGTGTGTCTCCGCCTAGGAAGAGCTTCCCGAAGAGGATTGACAGGATGTGCTGGCCTTGACAAGGGCCTAGTTCTCATTGAGGTGGCTCACCTGTATCTTCACTGTAGTACTTTGGAATGCAGGGTAGCGGAGCTCGGTACACATGAACAAGAAGAGGAAGAGGAGGATGGAAAGAAGGAAGGAAGGAAGTTGGAAGGGCAGCAGGCAGAAACCAGGAAGGAAATAGAATAAATCCCAGTCCTGCGTACACACACGCATGGATATATCTCAACAGATGCTAGAAAGAAGGATTCTAACCTAGCCTAGCATAACTTGTCATATTTAATTACTATGTCGATTTAGGGTGACACATTCCAACATATGAGCCACTACCTGCAATCCAAAGTGACAAGTCCAGACACAAGTTTAGTGTCACATCTGCAGGCTTTACCAGGCCAAAGTTAAATAAATAATATCCAAAGTAGGTGAGCGTCGGACAAGCCCAAGTCTGAAAGTAACTCCCAGCGAAGAAGACCAAGCCACAAAACAGGATGGAGTGGTTGACAATTACCTAAAGATCTATATATTTTCTTTTTCTTTTTTTTAATATTTTCGATCATAAAGGCTAAGTGGACGACAGCATTCTAATTCTGGGGAAAAGGAGAAGGATGTTGAACTTCTGAGATCACCTGCACTGGAGAGAGTTACACAAGGTCTACACATACAACAACCCCGAGAACATGCTGTTGTTGACTGGTACATTGTCATTATGTACAAACCCTGCCCAATGGTTTAACTGTGGGTTTTTAACCTCAGACAACCCAGGAAATCTGTAGATCATTGTTGGATTAAAGTTGGGTTGTTTGGGGTTAACACCCCATAGCTGAGCCAGAGTCCATGGTTTCTGCATAACAACAACCCAGGAAGCTTCATCTGTAGGGCAGCACAGAAAATAATTAAATAACACACTATTCAATGACTGCAGCTTCAATGGCAACCAGACCTTTGTATTTTCAGCAGGGTTGTGGGTTCAGAGAGGAGGAGGAGGAGAGAAGCTATTATATCAGTGAGGAGAAGTAAGAATGCCCTCCATCATACCAAAATTAAGGAGATTATGTTCCAAATTCATTTCTTGGGATCCCCAGAAAACAGAAATGAGAAAAGTAAGATACTATGGTAAGGGAACTGGGGAGTGGGCTGTATTCCTAATTAGGGTCAGGCAGTACAGATTCCTCTGAGGAGGCTGCTGGTACTCCAAGGTTACAGAAAAGCACCTAAGGGAGTCTGCCATGAAGGATGTGGAAAACTACCCAGAACTAGCAATATCAGGTAGTCCTAAGGAAAGAACAATGAAGACAACAAACCCGGAATAAGTTCTGTGGAGTGACTGTGTGTGTGAGGGCAAAGCATTGTGCACAGAAATGCAAAAGCAAGCTATTTCAAGCACCTGGCAGTGGCACAATGCTGTGGCTGGTGGTGGGCGGTGTTTGTTTTTGTGGCTGTAGGCCTTTAAAATTTCATGCACTATACTGGTATTATTATTATTATTGAATACCAGTGGAGCCTGAAACAAAAGACTGAGATCTGCTGTTCAAGATTCCAGCATTTAATTCCACCACTACTCTGGTTTTCCATTCTCCATTTCCCCTTACCCCCAGCAAACCATGTCCGGTCCTCCCTAGGCTATTTTGGGTAGGAGACAAAGGTTTTGTTCTTCAAGGTGTTTATTTGTACTTCTGCATTCTCTGGGACGGGGTCCTCAAACTTTTTCACCGGGGGGCCAGTTGAAAGGTGCCGGTGCCGGGCACGGGCCGGAAAGGGGGTGCTGGCAGGGGGCGCAGGCTGGCGCAGGAGTGGGGGCGGGGGGGGTGCTGGGGCGGGGGGCATGGGTGCAGCAAGGCGCGGGAGGGCAAGGGGAGGAGAGGCAAGGCAGGGGCAGGCACATGCCGCGATGCAGCGGCTTGCTCACTTGGAGATTGTTTTCTCCGAGCGAGTCCAAAACGATCTTGCAAGCAAGCCGCCGCCACTGCCTCGCGCAGGGTGCGATTCGTGCGGGCGCGCGGTGCGTTGAAAAGCTCTGAGGTGGGCTGGATAAATGGTCATGGCGGGCCACATCCGGCCCCCGGGCCGTGGTTTGAGGACTCATGCTCTGGGATTTCTCTGAGGTTACTGAGGCCTCTCCCTTGGTATGGAAGGCCCCGTTTTGGCTGCATAAATCACAGTTCTCCCAGCCTCAGTAAGAAAGGAAATGATACATTGTAATGGGAAGCAGATCTGCTGGTTACATTATATACAGAAGCACTGGTTGCAATACATGAAGCTAAAGGATGGGGGAGGCCATTGTATGGAGATTAAACAAATGAGGTGTGCACATATTATGGATGGGATGTTCCAGGGTCTAGCTTAGCATTTTGGCTGATACTTGTATACTTGTAGTTCTGCTCCTAAAAAAAAAAATTGTTGATCCTAGGAGCCATCCCTTTACACTATCAAGGCGATTTTCATCTTGGACAGCTTTGGGCAGAGACTTTTAGCCAAGGTAGGATACCTTCCGTTCATCTCTGAGAAGAGCAGAGTAGAGTCATGAACACTATTTTACAGATGGGGAATATAGAATCTCTCTCTAGGGTTCATGCCTGCCCGAAGGCCAGGCCCATGTAAGAGATGGAATACAGTGGTCCATTTATTTTATTTGTCTGCCTGACATTTACCCATGATAAATACTGCACTCTTCTTTTAGGAAAGTCAGAGCAACTTATCTGGGGTTCTCGGACAATTTCACATATGTACACTAATCCGAACAAGATCAGTAATTTTAACAGCGGCAAGGCAGGGGCGTGTGCGCACAGAGACCCTTTTCTCTGAGTGAGTCCCAAACAATCTCCTTGCAAGCAAGCCAGTGTCTTGCCATGTGTGCACACGGCGAGTCCAAAACCTTTATGGTGGGCTGGATAAATGGGCATGGTAGGCCGAATCCGGCCCGTGGGCTGTAGTTTGAGGATCCATGATTTAGTTAGGCAGCTGCCAATCAAATGTTCTAGGGGGAGATGAAAGGAGAGCAATGTTCACCTTTTTTGTCAACTTGTAGTTTCCTATTGATAGAGGGGCATCTTGTTACCACATATTGCCCAGCAACATGGGACTGGGAACTGGGAGCTTCTAGTGCCCACTTGGCCATAAAACTTCCTGGGTGATGCTGGTTCAGTCACTGTCTCTCAGCCTAACCTAGCTACCTTGCAGGATTATTGTTAGAAAGAGAGGCAGGATTATGTAAGCATCCTTTGCTTCCTTGCAGGAAAAAAGGTGTGATAGAAATATAAGCAAGCAAGCAAGCATCCAGTCCTTTTAAAAAGTTGTTCTCACTGTTTGCAGCGATAAAGTGAAACTGAACCTGGTAACAGTTTTGTTAGGAAAAGTTTGTTCTGAACAAACTATGTGACCAGGAGAGGAAATCTGGCTAAGTCAAACAATGCTCTGAATGAAACAAAGATAGCAAAGCTTATATACACATCTTGATTATACATGTGCACTACAGACCTGCTGGGCAAACACTTTGGCTTGCAACTGGATGGGGTGAAAGGTGACTGCGCTTGGCTGGATTATTCAACAAACAACGTGGGGTTCACCGGGTTCAGCAGTAGATTCTCAAACTGTAGGAAGGGCTTCCTTTTCTCTTAAATGTAAATGCACCCACTTTGGCCAGTGAACCTGCCATTTAGAATTCTGGCAAGGAGTAATTTTTTATTCTCTGTGCACCACTTAGGTTCTATTCATTCCTGTACAGCACTTACATTTTCATCTAACCTTGCCATAAAAAGACACGGTTGTTCAAGCCTGTCTTTGTAATGAAGGGCATCCATCATTCACCCCCTTTTTCTGCATCTTCTCCTGTTCTAACTACACAGTTTTGAAGACAAGGAGATCAGAATGGCTCCCAGATCACAGATAAACAATTGCTTCTGTTGAAATATGATGGCATGCCGAGCTTTTGCACATCTTACAGTACAATGCTATTTACATTTATTTGGAAATAATTCCCACAGTATTCAAAGGGGCTTACTCTCTGAAGCAGTTTTCCTCAACACGTGTTCCCAGCCCTAGCCAACCTGGCCAATGGTCAGGAATTGTGGGAATCATGCTCCAAATCCTCTGGAGGCACTGAGTTGACTATTCTAACATTAGGATCAGAACCAGGGTTTATTCAACCTGGTGCCCTCTGAATGTTTTGGATTCCATTATCCCCTGTCTAATTGCCATGCTGGCTGAAGATGCAAACATCTGGACAGCACCACCAATGTTGGGGAAGGCTGACAGCCCTTTGTTTCTAACAATGGGTTGTTAAATGCCTGTGATCACAAGCAAGGTGTGACACTGATGGCCCTTATAGTTGCAGGTGGTGAAGTGGTTTAAACTTCTGTGCTGCTGGGCTGGTTGATCAAAAGGTCGCCGGTTCGAGTCTGCACAAAAGTTTGAAAGCATGCAAATGCAAGTTTATAAAAAGGTAGCACTTCGGTGGGAAGGTAAAGAGCGTTCCGTGCGCTTCGGTGTTTAGTCATGCTGGCCACGGAGATGAGCACCACCCCCTAGAGTCAGACATGACTGGAATTAACATCAAGGGGAAACCTTTACCTTTACCTTTATAGTGTCTATTTACCAGGAGGGGAGGCGCCAATTGGTTCCACTTTGGGGGATGAAATCTATTTATGATTTTTGGCAAGTTCATTCTGTGGTGATGGAAAATAAGTATTAGCCTTGCATTGCTTTCAGACTGCTCTGTTATTGCCACATTTCAATCGTACCCCCCAAATGTACTAGTTGTTAAAATTCTGCAATGGTGCCAGTTATCTCCTATAAGAACTGTTTCCTATAGAATCCTTGCTGGTAACTCAAGGCATTCAAATTAAAAGCTAAGAAAGTCAAGTACCTTTGCTTGCTATTCTAACACTCAGTTTCCCTCATGAGTTTGTAAAGTATACAACCTTCAGATAGCTATGACACTTGATAGTCATTGCTGTTTCTTTCCCATGAAGGCCGTTCTTCCACAAACCCTCACCAAATTTCATATCCAGGAAGGGCTTTTGAATTTCAGGGAATATAAATGCAGGAGAAGAGTGTTGCAAAATTTCATCCAAAGGTGCAGAGGGTTGAAAACCCCACATGTGGGGAAATTGATGGCTTTATTTTCACACAAATGTGCTTGGAGGTAGAGTCTATGTTGCTTTCCAAATACTGTAAAAGGTTTTGTTCAAGTGCCTTATGTCCCTGTCCCCCACACTCTGCCCCATACAAATTCAGCCATCCTTGCAAAGGAGAGTAGAAAATGTTCTCCAGAGGAAGTAAGTCAAAATTCTAATTATAAGTGTAGATCCAAGTCACAATTGTGGCCACCAGATGTTGTTGGGCTCCAGTTCCCATTAACACTAGTCCTCAGGGGAAGTGGTAAAGAATGATGAGAACTAGAGTCCTACAATATCTGGTGGGCCGCAACTTCAGTGTAGGATAGGTTTGGAAAATTTTCTTTTTTGGACAGAGTTCTTCTGTGTTGACCTTGCTTTAAGCCTGTTACTCTGGCTATCCACAGTATTATGACGACATGTTTCCATCTATGAAAGAACAGAAATGCTTTGAGAAAAATGTCTTCAAGAAAACCCACAAGACTGACAGTGAGTATGTGGCCATCTCAAATGGAGGCGAACAGCAGGACTGTCTCAACTACCACCCTGAGTTTCTTCTTCTCTTTCTCATGCCAGAAAAAGTATGTGAAGCAGCCAGGAGTGCAGAAAGAGAAACACAGACTTAGTTTCTGTACACTGAGAAGCCCCTCTGGGCTTTTCGTCATTGTCGTGGCTGCAGTTCTGAATATTTGAACGGTGGGGATGCCGGGTTTTGTCATATGTGCACCCAGTGCAAGGGGGTTGCTGGTGTAGTTGACAAACCACGCAGAAGCCATGCATGATTTTAGGGCCGCTGGTGCTTTGGCAACCACTCCAACAACTCACCCTTGTCAGGTTTGCTATGGTGTGCCCTGAATATTCAAAATGGAATCCACCAGCACAATGAAAGGTTGCTGGGAAACTCACCCAAGATGGTCTCTCCATACATGGGAAATGGAGCACCTTGGTAAAGGGGCAGGCAAACATCAGTGCTGGGTAATGAAGTGTCAACAGGCTACCTTAAAAGGGGCCATTTTGGAGGGAGGTGAATTTGACCTGCCAGTTCTCAGATCCTTTGCAAAACAAATCTAGGTCTTGATAAAGGATGATGACCTAAATGTTTACCTAGGTCAGTCTTCCCCAACCCAGTGTCCTTCAAATGTAATGGACTGCAATTCTCATCATCTTCCAGATGGCATGGGTGATGATGGGGATTGTAATCAAACATTCCTGCAGGGGAAATGGTTTGCAGTTCCAATGTGTACCAGGGTAGAAATATTGGCTGTGATGCAGTGAGGCAGATATTTTTTACATTTGTCACCTAATCATAAGCTTGTAAGCTGAACACAAATCCCGTTTCCTGCTGCTGCTGGAAACATACTCGAGCTGAGTAAGTTCTTAATAAAATTTGCCAATGGAGTCTGCAGGAAAAGGCTGCCAGGCCCCCCTCTGCCTGCAAACCTTGGCCCTTAGAATTGCTCTGCCTGTGTTGCGGTTTGACCAGGAGCAGCCAAGTAAAGATGACAGGCGCAGCCTAGGTGTGCACCTCCAGGACAGCTTTGCAGGCATCACCACCACCACCACCATCTATACTGTCCAACAGCCAAAGTTCTCTGGGCAGTTTACAACTGCACATAAAGTATAATTAGAATACACTATAAAATACAGGCGGCAATAAAACACGATACAAATTATCATACAAAATTTAAAGCCTAATTTTGAAAACTCAGAAATTACATCACAAGGCTTATTAAGCAGCTGTTATAATGTCCTGATATAATGAGAAAGCTAATTAAATGGCATCTTAGGAAGGCAGTCTTGACTTGGTCCTGAAAAGTTGGTCCTACATAGGCTTCTATGGGAAGCTTGTTCCATCATGGGGGGCTACCACTAAGAAGACCCTTGTCCTTGTCACCACCAGGATGGTAGTCAGAGGCAGACCCCATACCTGGATCTTAGTGTCCAGGTAGATTGTAGTGGGGAGAGGGATCCCATCAGGTATGTGGTCCCAAGCTGCAATAAAGGCAAACAAGCCCTCCCCGCTCCCCTGTGCCTGCAGCCAGTCTGAAAAGATGTGGCTTACTCTACTTTTACCTGCTTATAGGCTTGGGTAGAGCTGAATAGTCAGAAATCACAAGGGCATCCAATGAGAAAAATGGTTATCAACCCAGCAGCTAGTTCATATGCAAAGGAGACAAGCTTGATGAGTTCTTCAAGACATGCCCCCCCTCCCCCCAATAATTCTACCTTTCTCTCTCTTCCTTTCTCCTCAGGCGAGATCGCTTTCTTGGAAGGCCTGACCATTGTCTATAAAAGCAGCATTGATCTTTTTTTTTACGTGGTGGGAAGTCCCCATGAAAATGAGGTAAGCCTTTCCCCTTTTCACCAACAGGTAAATGAGCAAAAGTGGAGCAGAAAGATATCACTACTTTGTGCTTTTGTTGCATTGGATTCCTGGTTGAACCTCGCTTGCACTTTTGGGAATTCAACAGTAAAGCCATGACCATGTTGAGCAGGAAGCTGTTCAAGGCAGAAACCACAAGGTTCCAGTTAACGTTGCCCACAATCTTTAGCAACCAGGACTAGAATAAGCATTACAAGAGCATCTGATACAGCAGGAGTGCAGAAGATCTTTTGGGCTGAATTCCCGGAGATGCTCCTGGGCGCGGCATCCACTGGTGAGAAGGGCAGAAAGGAAAAGGGTGAAGCCAAAATGGCAACGGTACCAGCATACTTCACTTAGAGTTCTTTCTGTCAGTCACTGGCATTTCTGTGTTTCCAAATGGGAAAAAATTGCACAAAAGCCAGGGAACCACCCAGGGAGTGTGGTTGAGGGAAAGGAGGTCAGGCCAGGTGAATGGGGTGGGCCCATTTGGGGAACCCCTGAAGGGCTGGATTTGGCTAGTAGACCGGAGGTTCTAAACCCCCCTTGTACAGAGAGATGCTTCCTGCCAAGTAATATACTGTAGCAGTGCATTCATTCTTTTGAGCCATTCTGATCGAGTTGCCAGCTGATTTCGGAAAAGCAGTTCCTCAGCAGGACTGTGTGGCTCTTGCATAAAAGCAATCTGTATCCCATCTGTTCGGCGCAAAGCAGTTAATTGCTGCTCTACATTTGGTTTTGTCACAGCACTGCATTCTGAGCTCTACCCAAAAAGCTCTTCTTTTCCTGTTTTTCCATGCTACAACCTCTAGCTGGATCTGTACTATTGAGGAATAGCAAAAGTACACCAGAAGCAAGAGCACGGTTTTCCCCATTTTAATTTAATACCTCATTTTCCCCATTCTAACGACAAGAAAAAAAGAGGTAGTGCTCTTAAGAAAACAGAAAAGTAAGGATGTCATCCAAAGAGCCCTTAAGCAACCATGAAGAAGGAAGCATGAGCATACAATAAATGCCTTGTGTAGCGTGCAGTCAAGGAGAAACACATTTTTAGCAGCAATAGAAGATGCCTTAATTTTGTCTTTGTTGATATTAACTTTCTTTTGTCACCTCCCTTTACTTCCAGCTGATGCTGATGTCAGTTCTCACCTGCCTCTTTGAAACCCTCAACCACATGCTGAGGTGAGTATCACTGCAAATCAGATCAAGGATCTCCTCACCCACATTCAAAATCACAGATTGGGAGGGTGGAGGAGGAGTCAACATTCGGCCTCCCTTGCCCAAAGGTAGGGTGTAATCCAGACTAGGGTGGGCATTTAATTGATTAACTAAATAAGTCTGCAAACAGAAATTGAGAAAAGGCTGCCTGGAGAACGAAGAATGTCAGATAGCTCAAGTAAGCAAGTCAAATTTCATGCATCAAAGGAAGGCAAAGCTGCTTGGGAAGCTGTGCTCTTCAGCAGCCCCCCTTCCCCAGATTTTTTTCAATGGGGTTGGCACAGGAGAATGTTTTGGGGAATTGTGCCTCTTGTGATAGCACATTATCTGCACCTCCAAACCTGCAGTGCCTCCTGCTGTCTTGAATAGCTTCCATTGCGGAGGTCACTTTGTGCAGCTCTCCAGATGTTTTAGCTCGCAACTCCATTATCCCTTGCCATTGCCTATGCCAGATAGGCCTGGAGGAAGTTGTGGGCCAACACATCTGGAGGGCCACTAGTTGTCCCCCTTCTGCCCTTTGTCGGCCAGACACCTTTTCCCTCTTCAAAACACTTTGCTCAATATACAAAGCTGCTGGACCAGCTTGTCTTTTATCATTCCGCCCATGCACAGGGATTTATGCCTGAATCTCCAGGTGCTCCCACTATCAGCAATATCAGGGCTTTTTTTTTGTCATCGAACACACTGGAACGATGTTCCGGCACCTTTTTTTCCAATGGATTTTACGAAGTGATTTTGAATCGCTTGTCAGCATAGCAGGTCAGCAGCAAACATCATTAACATAGTGCCTGCGGGCTGCTTTTGTTTCCACGCCGCCTGGCTTGGGATTGGTGTGTGTGGTCACATGCCAGCAGCAACGTGAGTTCCACCACCTTTTTTTTTTTTTTTTAAACAAAAAAAGCACTGAGCAATATTATCTGTTTATGCATTCAAATTAATATACCACTTCCTACAAAGATATCAGAGTGGGGAATGCAAACGCAATGACCTAAAAGGACAGTAAATGCAACAATAAAACCAAGACAGTGCATATGGATCTGGAATGAGACTGTTCACTCTGCTGTGGGCTACAAACCGTAGCTGGCGGGATCACACTTCGGGAAAAAGACGAGTTTTCCGGAGTTGTCTGAACTGTGCCGGCCTGCCTGTCTGCTTACCATTGGGAAAGCATTCCAGGGCTGGGGGCTGAAGCCCTAAATGTTTGACTGGAAATGTTCTGAGGCAAACCTCTAGAGCATGTGGGACCCACAGACGTGCTCCCTCTGAAGACTGTAGAGCACGGGTCCTCAAACTACGGCCCGTGGGACGGATCCGGCCCGCCGTGCCCATTCGCCATGCAGGCGGGAGGTGGTGGCTTGCTCACTGGGAGATCTCCCAGCAGGTTCAAAACCATCTCTGGGCGAGCAAGGCACTGCCTCCAGCCTGCGCTGCAAGGCAGTGGCGAGTGCGCGTGCACGGGGGGGGGGGGGGGGGCAGGCGGCAGTGGCTTGCTCACTTAGAGATGGTTTTGAACTCACTGGGAGATCTCCAAGTGAGCGAGCTGGGGCTGTGCACGCCCAACGCCACCTCACGTGCGCCCGACGACGCCTCACCGGCCCACATGCCCAGCCCCTGCATCTCACCGGCCCGCAACAGTCACCGCAGCCTTTCAACTGGCCCTCTATTGAAAAAGTTTGAGGACCCCTGCCGTAGAGAGTGGGCAGGCAGGGCTGGTCCCACCATGCATATGGTGGGCATGTCATGAGTGGAGCCAACTGGAGCCGGGGGTCAGACTAGATGGCCCGGGAGACCCCTTCTGACTCGCTCTGTTTCTATGAGGCCAAGTGAGGCAATTGCCTCAGGCAGCAGATCCTGGGAGTGGCAGGAAGGTATTGGGTCTCCAGGCCATGTAGCCTGCTGCCTTGAGGTATTGTGGAGGTTGCTGTTTCATTGATAAAATGAGAGAAGCTGCCATCTTGTCGTTCTTCTCAGGCAGCCAGATGTCTTGGCCTGGTCCAGTGGGCAGTGATAGAAGGGGTGAGGCAGCCCCTAAGGTAACCTGGCCCCAAGCTGTTTAGGGCTTTATGCATTAACAGCAACACCTTGAATGTGGTCCGGCAGGTTATTGGTAGCTGGTGCAGGTTTTGTTTTGTTTTTTAAGTAAGGATACAGTCCGAGATCAGAAGGAGGCCCACTTAGCAGCCTTGGCCCTGCATTCTGCCCTGGCTGCAGCTTCCAGACCATGTCCATCCAGGGTCTACAGATGGTGTACCATCTGACACTGGTAAATGGCACTCCTAGCCACCAAGGCACCCTGAACCTCACGTGAGAAGGGGAAATCCAAGTATATTCCCAAGCTAAGCACTTGCTCCTTCAGACAATCTATGCACCCATTTGAACAGGCAACTGACCTATTTCAAGCTTTATCGGCTCCTATCCAGCCACCCCAGCATCTGAAAACACTGGTCAAAATAAGGTTGGTGGCAACTGGGAAAAGAGTCTTTTTAGTGGTGGGCCCCCTGCCTGCAGAATGCCTTTCCCTGGGGCTTATTTTGCAATAATTTTGGTACCACATGAAGGTCTTTTAACTTTTTCTGAGCCTTTGAAATTCTAATTTAATTGTTTAAGCTGCTATGAGTTTTTATTGTTGCGGGGAGAGGGGGTATTTTTTTAACCAAAAAGGGCACAACAACAAAGCAGCGAGGAGGTCCTGGTTCTATTATGGATGCATTCAGCCTTCAGTTAATTATTTTATTTTATTTTTATTTAAACAACTTATATGCCGCCCCATCGCATAAGCCTCAGGGCAGCTTACAATCATAAAATCCCACATAAAATACAAAAAAAATCATCAAATAAATAAAATACATATACATACATACAAGATAGATAGATATTCTGTTGTAAGCTGTCATGACAATGCCAATTGGCCTTTAGAAGGTGGTGTATAAATTTAATACATACATAGTCTGGGAAGGCAGTTGATAGAAATTCAGCAATCCTACAGCAGCAGAATCTAGCGGACAGATCTCAGCCTTTTATGTCCCTCACTTTGAAGCAGCCCATTTCTTGACTGGGAGCTCCCAAGCCATCAAAGTCAAACCTCCTCCCACCCGCAGCCAAAATGTATCCTTCCTGGGTTAGAACATACAATACGTACAAGCAGAAATCAGGTGTGGTACCAAGCAGTAGCCCCAGCTGAGCCTAGGAAGGGAACCAGGACACACCTTCCCCACTCTCATCCTCTACATCAGGGCAGAAAATAGATCTCTAGAAATTGTGGACACCAGCTTCTGAGATTTCTGAGCATGGGCCAAGGGCAGAGGCTTCTCAAGATCTCCGTCTGCCTATCGCTGCCTTAAATGAGACTGCAATTTGTAATGCATCTTATGTTTAGAATAACATGTCTGTTGCATCCAACACACTTTAGTGTAGTCACTTCCCACCCAGGGTCTTTAAAAAAAAGCTGTGGCTTTCTCCTGGGGTGGGACCACACTACAAATGCATATGGTTTGTATTATCATGTTCCCCCCACCCCACAGAATCCTGGGAGTTGTGTTCTTGTGAGGTGTGGAGAGTGATCTGTTAGCAATCCATAGGCCCACTTGATCGCCTCCCCGAACTACAGTTCCCAAAGTCCTCCATAGAGAGAGATAAACTCTTAACCACTATATATTTGTAGGGCAGGTGAGACATCCTAGTGCTAATGGCTGCCATGTTTTGTCTTGTATTTAGAAAGAACGTGGAGAAGCGAACCTTGGTGGAGAACATGGATGCAGTGTTTCTTGTAGTGGATGAAATCGTTGATGGCGGGTGAGAGTCATGTGGAAGAGGGAAAACATGTCAAAGAGAAAGAGAGAGGGGAAGGGTTTAATACTAGCCACTGAGCCAAGGTTTTTTGTTGACCTACAAAGCTCTGAATTAGTTGAGATCAGGATATTTGATTGAATGCATGCCCTGTACAGATTCAGTGAGCTCCTGAAATCTTCTGAAAAGGCCTTAAGAGTTGTTCCACCATCACTGGAATATTGTCAGATAATACCACTGGTTGCAGCATGCCGGGAGTTGTAGGGCTTTTTTTCTGTCTATACTTGCATAGGATTGTGCCTTATGGTATATAAGCATTTTAAATCAGTAAATAAACAGGTGAAACTACTTACTCAGAGGAAATCATTCAAATCCAGTACATATCAGTGATGCCCAAGAGCCTTTTCTGCTCTGGAATGAGTTTGGTGAGCCTCAGCGGATTGCCCCCTCCTGCACTCTCAATGTTTAACCGACATTTAGAAGTGTTTGCCAGGGCGCCTCAGTTTCATGGGACAAAGACACTCCAGCAATTGCCCCATAAGTCCGTAACTCACACTAAATTCCAGTTAAAATGTTAACCCAGGTAATGAATCCAGCTTAAACTGTGAACACAATTAACTCATGTTTCAAAACACGTTGTTATTTAATCCAAATTGTTTCCCCCCCTACTTGCTGGGACAGTCACGGTGCAGTCCTAGATGAGTGTACTGCGTTCCTAAATCAGTGTGTGCCGTTGGGGTGACCTTTTTTCCTGCCACGGGCCACATTTCCCCCACAATATTTTTTCAGGGACCACATGCTGGCGGTAGGGAGGGCTCTAACCAGTGAAGGGCAGGGCCTGAGCAGAAGTGAGTGGGACCAGCCTTTTTCTATGTCTTCTCGCACTCTCTGTTCTCCCTAACCCTTCCTGCTGACCCAGTGGGTCACAGAAAATCACAGAGGGCTTGCAGAGGACAAGGATTGCATGTGTTGAAATGCTACAGGTCCAATTGCTGAACCTGAACTCAGGGGCAAAGAAAAATCCCCACTTACAGGTGGGAGAATTTCAGTGATGAGTTGCTTCCATGGTTGCAGAAAAAGAAACCAGTTTGTAAAAATAGTAGGATACTGCAGATACAAGAAAGGGGGAACTTTGTGGGGTTTGCTGCATTTGCTTTTAAGGGACATCCTAATTGTGTTCATGCTTCCACCAGGCAGAGCTCAGGTGTAACTTGAGAATAAGTCTTCAAAACTACAAATAAAATAAATGTCATATATAGCCCAAGGAGTACTGCAGTGATAGTCATCATTTCTGATGGCCTAGGCACAGCCCAATAGGTGACTGTGGCATTTCTCAATATAAATTTGTATTTTTAAAATAAGTGCTCTGGACAGAAGCAGGTATTACCTTAGATCATAAGGGAAAATACATTTTCTCTGCAGTTTTCCATATACCTCATAACAGCTGAATAACAACTGCATCATTACTGAGCACAAAAAACAACAAGCTAGTCATGAAGTCCTTTCTTCAGGGCATTTATGGACTGTCCATTACCAGATGTGCAGATTAGGAGACCCCTTCTCCAGGATGTTAATTTCTCTCTCTCTCTCTTTCAAATCTAGCGTGATTCTGGAAAGTGATCCCCAACAAGTCATCCAGAAGTTGAATTTTAGAGTGAGTTGTTACCCTCTCTTCTCTGTTATGCTTTAAAAAAAATTATTGGATCATCTCTGCTTTTAATCCACCTGCTCATGTTTCTCCTGAAACTCTTTCCACCCTCAGATGAACCCTGAGCCGGCAGCCTATGGCTTCGTTCTCTTTGATTACATCACGGGTAACTCAGAACACAGTGAAATTATGTCCGAGAGGTTCTACAAATAGCAGAATATTCTCAAAAATGGGAGGCAGGAGTAAGATATTGCTTATTTCTAAGCATGTTGGTTGCTCAAATGCAGCATGCTGGCAAGCCAGGTTGACACCTTTCCCCCTGGTCAGGGAGATTCCCTCTCCTTGTGGTGAAAAGCCCTCAGGGCAAATGTAGCTGCGAGCAGTCCCAAGAACAGCTAGAGAATTTAGGAACATGGAAAACTGCCTTAATCCGAATTAGAAGCTTGATCCGTCTAGCTCGGTTTCATTTAGGATTGTCCCCAAATGTGAGCAGCATGGGCAGAGGCTGTGTTAAGGGGCAGCCATCTAGGAGTAGAGTTCCATGTCTGTCATTTGGATCCCTGCATCTCAGGGAAACCGTCTGCCTCACACCCTGTTACCCATGGACACTCGCTGCATGAAAGCCCTTGTGATCTGTTGCATCTGATCTCCCTGGATTAGCTGTCTTTCCTCCACACATGCATCACCTCCACCTCTTGAATCTTTCTGGCAGAGGTTTTTTTTCCTGAAATCAGGTGCCTTCCTTTCCCTATGTCCATACATGTCTTTTTCACAAATAGGATTTCTCTTAGGAGTTAGAATCTTTTAATGACACACTCTGGAGATTTTGGAGCATCTTTAAATCAACACACTCGAATTTGTGCATTTTATTATGCTCTGTGGCCTGAGTCCCAGATACTTTTGACATCTAGCACCGCCCTGAGCATATGTTGTAGGTGGCTCACCGTGGTGTAGTGGCTGCAGGGCCAGACTGGATGCACTGCTGGGACTGTCCTGTTGGTGGGGATATGGATGCCACCTGCCTTCCCCCTCGGAACTCCCCGATTCCTCCGAAGTTAGCCGAGCCTTCCTCAACACAGCAGCCTGCATGCTTGACCTGTCCTTGGGGGTGCAACTTGGGGGACTGCTGTGATCAGTGCCTGCCGTTCAGAATTTACCATTACACCCGGGAGGCATGTTTGTGGTCTCTCTAAGTTTCCAAGCATGCTGTGTGAGTTGCAATTTTAAGGCGGAGAACTGAACAGCCAGCTATGACATAGCAAACTATGGGGTCCAGAATTTATCCTATTCAGATCAAACCCATTGAAATCCAAGGAACTTCAGTGAGCTTTGACTAATTTAAGTTCCACTCAGTGGCTTGACTGTGTCTATGACTCAATCCAGATCCAGCCCCATATTCCAATTTAATCAAGATATACAGAGGCTTTCTCTGCTTATAAGGTTGATATGAATGCCCTGCCCCTGACCAAGTATCCTCTTTATCAACAGTATTTGTGCAGGTTTGCTTCTCTGGTAGGGGATTGGAATGAGAGGAGATGGCAGAATTATCCCAGCAGGCTTTGTACCCACTTCCAGTGAGCATGGCGACACCATGTTTATGGTACATTTTAGACAGGACCCCATGTGACTGCAGAGCTCTTAGGGTGATTGCACGGTCTAGTGATCCAAAGCGCTACTAGAGAACTTGGGGACACAGGGAGCTGCCTGAACCCGAATCCTGCCTTTGGTCCACCAGCTCAATATTGCCCAGACCGGGTGTGGAAAATGGGTCCCACCTGACGGTGCTGGAGTACAGTTTGCATTATCCCTGATGCTTAGCTGCACTGCTGTGAACTGGAGTCTGGGAAGGGAGGGCAGGAAGGCTGAGTAAAGCCACCCAACCTCCCTGCAATGTAGACAGGGCACACTCTATCAGTAGTCTCCCCACACTCCTTAATCAGTCATTGCTGTTCAAGGAGGGCAGACCTCAGGCCTCACGGATCTATTGGAAGAATGGAAATAAGGGTTCAGACTGCAGCCCTCCATTACAACCTCCATAGCATGAAACAAATTAAGTAGCCAGTTGCTTGGTCTGTGGCACTGAAGTTAGTGCTGAGTTGAATTGGAAGAAGCCGCACTCAACTGAGCTAATTTAAAAAGTAAAAGATGGGAAGAGAAGAGAGAAGGGATAAAAATACAACGAAAGCTTACACAGATATATTTGGTACAACCCCATCAAGAAAACAACAAAATTACCAATTTACTTACCCAAGCAAGAGGAGCTCTCACAGGATAGATATCCAGCCAGAGTTTAGTTCAGCCTGCAGTTGCAATTAGTTGGCATCACCAGGAAGAGAAACAAAAGACCCCACTCTGGGACCACTCTTGGTAACAGGGCAGATTTGCCTTAGCTAAGCAACTCCCCACCCACCATCAGCCTTGCCTTCTCAGATGTGGGCAGCTTCTGTCTTATTAGGGCCAATTTGGCTGGCTGGCCACACAACCTTGAGCCTGGAACTGCCCAGCACTAACTTGATGAAAAGGTGGTAAAACACCTCCACCTGTTCAGACCCTCCCAAGACAGGTGGCCCAGGACAGGAAAAGACCTTTTGGAGCTTAACCCCTCCTTACCCTCAGGCAGGACTGCACAGAATTCAACAACACTGGGATGGTCGCAGTTTCCCTATAATGGATCCACACTGCGTAGCTGCAGCTCTCTGGGATCAGAGACAAGATTCTTTCTCACACCTCCCTGGAGATGCGGACTGAACCTGGGGGCTTTGCATGCAAATCAGGTGCCTTGCTGCTAAGCAAAAAGCTGCCTTTCTACCCCCCACCACCTGCCTTCTTGCTCAGGCATCGCTGGAGCAAGAATAATCAAGTAGGCAATGTGGTTGAATGTGCATCACTTCAGTCTTAGACTGAACTGTATTTGTCATTTTGTTGCCCATTTGGAGGCATCCTGGTAGAATCCTTCATTGCCTGTTTGCTTGGAGTTCTGCCTTCCTCAGTAATTTGGGCTTGTTTGTCAGTGCTGACAATCTCACTGCTTCCTCCTTCCTCCAGATAATGCATGGATGTTAAATAGCACTCTTCTCAACACAGATGGAGAAATTATATTACCTTGCTTCTCTCCAATGTGAAATCAGTCATTTTATTACCTTGTAGCTCATGTTCTTTTACTAGTTCATGGCTTAAAAAAGAACCTCTTCTATAATTCAACTGGCTCACCACAGCTACATGTTCAATAGCACACTTAAAATAATTCTAAATAGCTCGTGAGGCAGGATTTTTTTTTTTTTTTGCAAAAGCCATGCTGATCTTTTATTAGCAAGGCTTGTTCTTCCATATGTTTAATTATACTAGCTTTAATAATGCTTTCCATCATTTTACCAGGGGCAAACAGACTGGTGGATCTGTAATTTCCTCCCTACCCCAGATCCTCTCTTTAAAATGTATATTACATTGGTTAGAGACCATAAGGAGCCTATGGCTGCATTGCATATTACTGTTATAAGATCCAAATATTTCACATCTAAGTTATTTAGGTCATGGTCTGGGAGGCCACAGGATTTTGCAGAGTCCTGGCTCCAAGCCAGTACCCTGGCCAACTTGCAGCCAATGCAGAAATACTGTGCTAGCGGTCACTGCAAGACTACAACTAGGTTTTGGAGGAGGGAAACAGGAGGTAGACATGGGAGGAGCATGGAGCCAAGGACTGTGCTGATTTCCGTTGGCATCCTAGCTTCCTTCCCTCACCCTCCCCAGTGCTAATGCAGATGGCCAAAAATGGCTGTCCAGATGAAATACCCATTGGGACAGTGTGCATAGGATACACACAGACCTCTGGATTCAGAGGCTTATGTGCATGAAGGGCACAGGACATAGGATTTCATGATTAAAAACTCTTACATAGATGCAAGCCTTGAGGATTTGCTGATTTACAATTTGTCAATTAGCTTTGAAATCCTATCTATTATTATTCCATTTGCCATAGTTCAGTAGGTCCCACCTCCCCCTCGCAAAAAAAAAAAAAAAAAAAAAAAAATCATTTGGCTGTATCTCTGCATTATTTTCATAACTTTTGTCCTCACTCAATCACTGCCTAGTTTCCTGCTTCTCACATTTCTGAAGGAAATTTTGCTGGCTTTATGTTTCAGTAGCTTGCTCCTTGAACACTTTCTTTGCTTGGTTTAATGTCAACTTACATTACTTGTGTTGTTTTAATTATCCCTATTTGACTAAGATTTAACCCCCTTAAGGAAACTTCCCTACTTTTTATGGTTTGACTTAGCCATGGTCCTTCCTCTTCTACTCCTCTCTCCCCCAAGTTATCTTCATCTCCCCTTAGCTATCCTAAGCACTTTCCCCTCTCTTTGTAGGTGGATGACAACTCTTTATCAGAACACACTGTCACTCAGGTAAGTCTGTTCAAATTCTCGAGAGTTTGTCTCAGACTCTCTCAGTCAGTGGCACAATCTTGTTTTTGTGGTCTAGATGACAACATTCCACAGTGTGAGAAGCTGATCTAGTTCAGAGTTTCAGCCTGCCAATAATATTTTTTCTTGAAAGTTCTCCCTTCAGATCCCACCACCCCCTCAGTGTTCTCTCCCCTGCCCCAGCTCAGCATACTGTGGTCACAGGGCATTATCAGTCCAAACTGGATGCTTTTGGGATCCTTCCAGTTGGGTATTTTTCGTGAACCATTTTGTCTGCTATTGCAAACTCTGAGATTCGTAGGGCCTGCTGATATCTTAAGCTTTTGAGCAGGCATAGCTCTATGTTGTTGTTGTTAGTCGCGAAGTCGTGTCCGACCCTTCGCGACCCCATGGACAACACTCCTCCAGGCCTTCTTGTCCTCCACCATCCCCTGGAGTCCACTCAAGCTCACACCAACTGCTTCAGTGACTCCATCTAGCCACTTCATCCCCTGCTGTCCCCTTCTTCTTTTGCCATTTATTGTTTCCACCACATATGAACTATTTGTTTGCCCTTGTAAATATGCAGTTGAAACCCTGGAAAAGACAAAAGTGGGAAAGAGGCTGCAAGAAAAGGGTTGGTTCCCCCTCCCTCTCCTCTTACTTGAAAGCAGATCTTTAAAAACAAGCATGGCATAAGGATTTAAAGGGCCCAATGCCATAACTATTCAGTCAGAAAAAAGGCCTGCAACTCACAGCTTGCTCCAGCCAGTCTTTTGCTGGGAGTTGCAGGCCTTTTTCCTGCCTTCCCAGTTCATAGGATTGAGGCCCCTTCGGTGTATCTGCACAGCAAGTATCCATGAGGGTAAATGCACTCCAGCGCGTGTATAAACAACCTATAGACCGAAGGATACAGAGTGCAAAACAAGCTGTTTGTAACCAGATGCCGTTCAACCAAACAGAGGCTGGAAAGCACTGGGAGTGTTGACAGTGACATAAACGCAGCCAAGGTCTCGTTCTCCAGTTTACCAGCTGCTTTCTTACAAACAAGCTTCTCCGAGTTAATCTTGATGGTCTGTAGCTCAAACAGTGGCTGGCACAGGCCATGATTTCCCTAGCAGGGCCTACTAACAGTCTCCTTTTATCTGTCGCCTTAAGAGTAAGTCGGTGACAATATAAAACTTCTCTGCCTGAGGAGTTGCTGTTAGCCCTGTCCACAAAAGTATTTCCCTCCTGTCTTATTTGAGTTGCCCTGATCTGAATGAGATCTTTCTCTGGAAACAAATTCCCACCTGGGATCAGTTTAATCACCTGTGCAAAAGCCTAACCCCTTATGGTGGGAAAAGAGTGCCTCAGTAATGTGTACCTCACCCCTTGAGCTGACAGACGCAATTCTGAGCGTGGCAAAAAGTACCTAAAATTGCTGCAAGGGCTGATGCAGGAATGTCCAGGCTGATGCATGTCCGGTTGCTGTGTGCAACATACTCATCCCTGGCAAAACATTTTGTCATTGAGGGTGAGCGTACAGCCAGACCTTTTGTCTAAAATCATGAGGTCTGACATGTGGCTGGTTCGGGTTGGATGCCCCTGCGGATAAGCTCCCTCTTCCCCATCCTTGCCAGGGTCACTTTTGGATGAGGTGCAGGTGGTCTCTTCTGAGTGCATCAGTCAACTGTAGGGTGGCCGCTTATGCCTCGGCAAAAAGGTCATACATTGCATGTATAGACAGACCTTTGGAAGCAATTGCTATTTAAAATTTTTTAAATAGGAATACAGTACATATCATAGGGAGGGAGTCTGTGATTTGTGTGCTGGCTCAATCCAAGTCCTCTGGATGCTTTCTCCCATCTTTAAATGGGAATTGGACTGGGAAGGCTTCAAATGGAGGATGACATCAGAGGACTGTCCTCTATCTGAAGGTCTGCCAGAGGACTGTCCTTTATACTGGAGGACACATTGTTACCCAGCTCAACAGGTGAAGGATTTAAAGGTTTGTTTTCAGTGTGTTTTTAAATGAATAAGTAGAGATAGAAGTCATATTTTCTTTAGCATGGGGTGGAGAGTAAACATTTGCTATCTAACCTCAGAGACCTTCCAAATAGGTCAGGATAATATATAATTAGGTAAAGAATTAAAGTAACTAAATTTGAAGAGGGACTCTTGCAGTGAATTAGCTTAGAGAATTGGTTGGAGAATTTTTTTCTATCTGAATATACACCTAAAGTTACCACACAGGTAAACCTGCATTCCATCATCAAGATTTCATGATGAAATTCCCATTCCGAATTCCAAAGGGTGGAGTTGGAGGGCACTTGGCTTTCTTTTGCCCAGTGCCCCACAAACCGCCCCCCCCCACTGCCCCCTCCACTGCCCTCCTCCTAATTTTGCCTTCAGTGAGCTTTCCCCCACCAAATATCTTTCCTTGTCTAAGCCACACATGCCACCTAGTGTCCACTCTGCTGCTCAGTCTTTTTGAGTGTCTCCAAGTATCTTCCCTTTCTGTAAGGCTAATTCAAGGGCTTCATTTGAGCCAGAAGTTCCTAAATTTGGTCCCTGTGCCAAAACTGGTGGCCTGTAGGGAAGTTTGAGCCACAGCAGTTGCAGGTTGCGTGAGCGTCATCTCCATTGCACTGTTGCTGGGATGAATTGTTCTGCAGGCATAATCTGCAGTATGGCTGATTTCTGCTTGGGGAATACCAGTTTGGGCCCTGTGGGACAGGGTGGTAGAACCTCAGGCCCAGGGGACAAAATCCGGTCCTCCAGGCAACACTAGCTGATGCCTCCAGCGGGGCAGTGTAGCCACTCCAGGTTTCAGTCTGAATGTTAAAGAAACTGAACCTATTTTGGGGGGACAGTTCAACACCACGGATAGTCCACAAAACACCATCCTGAAACCAATAGTGGATTCACTGCTCCACTCACATTGGAGCACATTGGCTTCTTGGCTTTTGAGCAGCTGGGGCTTCCTATCAGTTCCAAAAGGCTGAAATGCCTCTTCCAAGGCTTAACTACTGAGAGGAAGAGCTTGAGGCTACACTATGCTGGCATTCTTGGCCCCACTGCTGTTTTCTTCTGCTCCCACTGGAATGCAGCTCTGAAGAGCTTCTTGGAAATGAAGTTCAGGCTCTGCGCTCTTGCTGTAAGATGATCAGTAGGGTGGAGGTAATGCTGGATGGGTCTGAACAGGAAGATCTTTTTGTTGCAAGGAAGTGAACACGTTGGGTGAGGGTCAGTTATAGTTACATAAAACGAGCTGAAATCAGCATAAGAAACAAAGCCCATTGAGTTCAGTAGGTTTACTCTAAGCATGACTAAGTCTGAATCCAACCCACTGGTTCATTTTTATGCTGACCCATCAGCCAACAGGACCTCAAGGCAGAATGAGATTTAAAAAGAATTTCAACAAACATGAGCATGGGTCCATTAGTCAGTTCCTCATACGCACTCCCTGAATGTTGAACTGAACTGCTTTTTTCCAAGTAGATTTTGCAAAGTGGCAATTGTTTTGTAATGCTTCGGCATGAATCTAAAGTCTTGGGCAAAAGAATGGGGAAGAGAAAGAAAAATCGTCCAAAAGTGGGCTGAACCAAAATATTAGGAATTCTTTTTCTGTCTGGACCATCAAAGTAAATGTGTCAGGATGCACTGAAATAAAAAAATCGCATGGTGGTTGGTGCCCACGGGGGTTGGAAGGGTGGAAGACAGGACAGATGCTCAATATTCTGTTGAAGCTGCAAGAGGAGGACAGGAGAAGACCGTGTGTGACATTCAGCAGCTGCGCATGTACCTGACTGCAGTACATCTGCCTCCTGCAAATGAATGGGAGGCAGGTCCCTGCCCACACCTGTGCCCAAGCAGAACTGCCTCTGGTTCAACATGAAGTTGCTTGGGATGAGACTGGAAGGGAAGTCAGTAATCTGTTGACAGGAGGTGGAAGGAATTAACTGTCTAATTTCTTTCTCTCCTTTTTTCTTTCTTCATAGGTTCTGCAATCTGCCAAAGAACAAATTAAGTGGTCCTTACTAAAATAAACACTCAAAACCAATGGCATCACATTAGATCAATGTTGCCTTAACTATTTTTTACGCTGCCCGATTTAAGCCTTTCCCATGTAGGACTAGAACCTGTACAGTGCAGATGTAGAAGACTCCAAAAGGCCAGGCAGCTGTGCTGAGCTCTGTCAAGCAAACCACTTCCAGACAGTTCCATCTCTCCCAGCAGCCATTCTTTTGTAAAGCTAATGTGTCTTAATAGCCCATTGAAAACCAAACCCCAAAACAGGGAGCAATAATATATCATTGCTGGGAAAATTCATTTTTCCCCAGCTACTGTGGGGACTTGCAGCTAAGCTAAGCTCAGAGGGGTGGGCTGGTGGGTGAGGTTTCTCCACAAGTCTGGACTACCCTGACCCAGCTGGGAAAAGACCAGCCTGCCAAAAGCACATCTGTGAACGTTCTTCAAAGTCCGCTATTCTGCAGGGCACTGCTTTTGGGCTGCAGCTATCTCTGGCTGTGCACATATTCTCTGGGGCAGCCTCCCCATGACCTGGTGCCTTCCAGATGTGTAGACAACTCCCATCCTCCCTAGCCAGCATGGCCATTTGGGTGATATTCCAGAATGCCAAATGCCCCTTCCCCAAATTCACAAAAACAGCTGAAAGAAAGATGCTTGTTTGCGTCAGTTACTCCATTTCTAGAAGGATGTGTTTGTTTTCTGCAAGATGTTCTACTGTTGCAATGGAATAAAGGCAAAACATTTTTAAAAAGCCTTCAAGTCTAAAGAGCAACATTTCAAAAATGCCCAATGACTTCAACGGCACCCCATCACCAACAAAACACTTTCTTAGCCTGACCTCTTTTGGGGTAAAATGGCATTGCAGTCTCAAGATAAGCCTGTCTCTTCTTGTTTCCCATTTATTCATA